AATGAATAATGTAGGTGATATAAAAAAGATATCAATAAATATATTTTTTTAAAAGTCTTCCCTACCCATTGATTGATTTGGGATACCTTTATTGTAAACACAAAACACCCCCTAGGGTCAGGAAAGGCTGTGAAACTGACCTCCTTGACTTCCTTTAAGTCCCAACTAAAATTCCACCTTCTATTGGAAGACTTTCCCAACTCCTCTTAATTCTAACGCTTTTCTTCTTTTAATTATTTCCTGTTTATCCTGTATATAGCTTGCTTTGTATGTATTTGTTTGAATATGTTATTTCGGCCATTAGAATGTAAACTCTTTAACAGCAGGGACTTATCTTTTGGCTCTTCTCTAATTTGAGCATTTAGTTCAGGGTCTGGTACTTAGTAAGCACTCAATAAATGTTGATTGACTAAGTGATTGATAATGGTCAGTAACACTATGCTGTTTTTCTCAAATAAACTATTATTTGAATGTAACTTGAATGGAAAGATGACTAGAGATATGACTAGAAAGATGAAAGAGGTAAACTTTTTAATCCATCCTTTCACCCCAACCCACCCCATTAGAGTTATTGTGTAGCTTGGGAGTTAGTCAATTGAAGCGTTGATCAATTAGTTTTCTGAGTGTTGGGTTTGTTTTCTGTTTCATAGATTGAAATCTCTAAAAAAATTTTTCAGTTTAAATGGGTGACCTGGAATAGAATGACCAGCATTTGCAGACTTTCATATAGTCATTGCTTAGAAAGCAGTTTTTTTTTCCCTTCTTCTGCTGGATAAGTGTTAATTTGTGGCATCTGCCCCAGTTACAGGGGATTTAGAAAGAAGGCTTGTCAGTCCTACTGGATCCAAGACTGGTCTTTAAGCTTTAGCAGGGCTCCATAGCTTGGGTGTGTAATCCCCACAGATCTGAGGGGTGGTTCTTACTTCATTCCTAGATATTGTTAATATCTAATTATAACCTAAGGGTGCTTGGTGTATAGGTTACTGTCCTTTTCAGCCAGTTACTGTCAGAGAAAATCTTTCTCATGTAACCAAATGTGAAACTCTCCTCCTTGGAGGACATCTTTAACCCCCAACCTCACATTCCCAAATGGGCACATAGTAGGGCCTCATAGTTATTGACTATAGTATGTTGAATTAAGCAATAATTTCTAATGGAAAAAAAACATTTCCTGGAACAGTAATTAATGTCTTGCTGGAGTTGCTAAGGACCTGAAGGAAAGCCAAAGGCACTTAACCCAATCAGTCATTAACTGCCAGAAAATATTGGACCTAGAGGGTATTAATGGTTATTATAAACTCTGAAAGTGAAAGTGATGAGGTGAGAAAGAAAGAAAATCTAATGTAATTAATTTTTATGCAATGAAAAGTTTAAAAATAGAAGCATCTGTTACCATGGTCACACAGCATTCTGATTAGTCTTTCAGGCCCACTATAATGGCTGCCCCTGTCCAGTACTCACAGACAACAGAATGCTTAGACCTCGCTTTCAGCAAAGGCAGAGCACAGGAAACCAATAACCAGGCAACCCAAAAAATCCACCCCTATAATGCATTTATGCTGTTCATTTCCTCACAAAGAAAACTTTGAGCTTTCAATTGTCATTATCATTTCTTTGAGAAATGTGTCTAACGACCTTCACTGGCTCCTCCAGACTGAAGCCTCTGTATGTGTAGATCACAGATTTAGGGTTAGAAGTTCAACCCTCTAGTTCAATCCTCTCATTTTACAGTTGAGGAAACTGAGGACTTGAGAGGTTAAGTGATTTGCCCAACCTCACACCAGGTAGTAAAAAAACCTTTTCACTTACACCTGTGGTGACTGCAGGACACAGAAATTAAATGACTTGCCAGAGGTCACATAGCTAGTAAGTAGGAGAGTGGGGATTAAAACCTGGGATCTCTGACTCTAGATTGAGCAGTCTCTCTATTTAAATACCCTGCCCTTTTTATTTATATGCATTTACAGTGTAAATATAGTCTTGAAAAGTACATAATTCAAATTCTAATAAATTGAACAATTATTTCCCAAATAGATTTACATTCTAGTTTTAGAAATATCTAAATGGTTATTTCTGATTTGTCTTCATATAGCAGGGAATTCTAATAGCTTAACTTTAAATTTCCCTAACTCTTCTTCTTTGCCTATGCTTCTCTTTCAAGAACAGATAGATCAGGGGGCAGCTAGGTGGTGCAGTGTATAGACTCTGGCCTTAGGAGTCAGGAGGACCTGAGTTCAAATCTGGCCTCAGACACTTGACACTTAACTAGCTGTGTGATCCTAGGCAAATCACTTAACCCAGATTGCCTAAGCAAAAAAAAAAAAAAAAAAATGGATCATAGAATTTAAAATTAGGAGGAACCTTCGAAACCATTCCAGTTTAACCTTTTCATTTACAGATGAGGAGTCTTTGAAAAGGAAAGTAATACTATGCTGAAAATAATCAAAATTACCATGTAAAATATTTAGGGTGAATTTTTAGAATTTTTCCATGCTAATAAAGTGCCCAGAATATAGTAGGTGCTTAATAAGTTCCTGTTGATTTTACATATTCATTTTTATCATCAGTGCTCTCTGTCTTCATAGCTTTCTTTGTTCTTTTACTTCAGATCTTCCCACAATTTGTTTAATTATAAGTAGCCTCAGGTTTTATATAAGTTAGAGGGAACTTTTATGTAAGTTCCTTTTATATAGTTACGTAGTTCCTTTTATATGTGTCCTGTATCAGAACCAATACACATCTAGAGCTTATAGTGCGTCTGTGTTTGGGCTAGTGGTAGAAATTGTCCTCTTTTTTGGTACCTTTAATTCCTTTCCCTTGCCCCCACTTCTCAGTACATACATATTCCTTTGGAATTAGCATGCCTACCTTCCTGATTCCTTGTATCTTTCCTTTTGAATCTTCCCCTCAAGTGCAAAAGAGCCAGTGAAGGGAACATGACCAAATTTGGGGGTAGGAACCAACCTAGTTCCTTTTCTCCCCCATTTTAAGTCCAGAGTTCCTCCAAATTTAAATATAACAAAAAATGATGTAACACCCCCTTGGGATTTGCTGCCACAGTCAGGTAGCTAACTTTGCTAAGTAGTCATTTACCTGCCTGTTCAGAGAATAACTATTCTTCTCTCTGTCCATCTGTCTCTGTCTCTCTCTTACACACACACACACACACACACACACTGGACTGGTAAATTTGTTGTTCAGTCGTGTCCAACTCTCTGTGAACACATTTGGGTTTTTGTTTTTTCATTTTGTTTTTGTTTTGCAAAGATACTGGAGTGGTTTGCCATTTCTTTCTCCAACTCATTTTACAGATGAGGAAACTAAGGCAAATAGGGTTAAGTGACTTGCCCAGGGTCACACAGCTAGGTGTCTGAGGTTGGATTTGAACTCAGGTCTTCCTGACTCCAGGCCTAGCACTCTATTCACTGCATCACCAAGCTGCCCAGACCAGTAAATTATTTTATACTACACTGTCAAGGTCAGAACAGACTACTAGGTTTTCCTCTCCAAGGAAAAGGAGGAAAGAGTAGTTTGTATATGCACCAGCATACTTATCTCATTTATGGACAGTTGTCTCCATTCCCTCACCAGTCTTCAATCTTTCCTTGTCTACTGCCTGTTTCTCAGCTGTCTTCAAACATTCTCATCACATCTCCCCCATTCTCAAAAGACCCTCACCTGATCTATCAATCCCTGCTAGCTATTGTCCTAGGACTTCTACTTACTTGTTCTTCCTTTCTTCTTAACTCTCCATGTCCTGGTTTCAGACCTCATTGTTCAATTGAAATGGCTGTCTACAAACTGACAAATGATTTCTTATACATTGCAAAATCTAATATTTCAAGTCTCTATCTCGCCCTGTCCATCCTCATCTCAGCTGTCAAGCTGATCTTCCTAAAGTCCACATTTAACCACATCAGATTCCCCACCACGACCACCATTCTCCCTTATGGTGAACGCTGATGGCTTCCTTTTACCTTCAAGATCAAATACAGAATCCTCTGCTTGGCTTTTAAAGCCCTTCATAACCTGGCCCATCCTATCTTTCCAGTTTTCCTTTATCTTACTCCCCCCTCTGTATTCTATGATTTAGTGACACTGGTCTCCACAAATACAACACTCCATCTCTCCACGCGGGGCATTTTCACTGGCTGTCCCCCATTCCTAAGAGGCTCTGCCTCCTCATCTTTACCACTGGCTTCCGTGACTTCCTTCAGGTCCCAGCTAAAATCTCACCTTTTACAGGAAGCCTTTTCCAGTCCTCTTAATGCCAGGACCTTCCTCCAAGATTATCTCCAATTCTCCTGTCTGTACCTTGTTTATACATAGTTGTGTGCATGTTGTCTCTTCAATTAGACTGTGAGCTCCTGGAAAGCAGCATGTTAGATTCCAAGCACTTATCACAGTGCCTGCCACCCAATCCTGTAAAAATGCTAGCTTGCTTGTTTTCACCTAAATCAAGTCAGAGCCCCACACTACCATAATAGTCAGGGCTTCATCAGTCTACTTCGAGGACTTAGAGACTTATGGCTATATTTCTATATTTATTTTTAAAATATTCTCTGTAGGATATCCCTAGTTGTTTGGTGGTGTACGTCTCTTAATTTTTGACTGGCATTTCTAAAATAGTGGGGTTTTTTTTGAGTGTCACCAATGGATCAAGTCATTAAAGTTCATTAGATTTATCTTCCTACTAATCCAATTACAGAATATATTGTAAGACAACTGTGTGTATAATGCCTAAAAATTGTATGGAGATCCTTTTAACCATTTTATTTTCAAATGTTTAACAAATTTAGTCTCTTATTCTAATAAATATATCATCAAGTTTAAAAGAAGAAAAAAATGCTAGCTCACTTGATTCAAAGAGTCAATAAACATTTATGAAGGTCCTACTCTGTGCTAAGCACTGGGGATTTGAAAAAGAAATAAACAGCCCCTGTCCTCAAGTAGCTCACAATCTAATGGGGGAAGATAATACGAAGATAATACATAGAAAAAAGCTGAAAATGGTGGGGGAGGGAAGATAACAAAGCCAGGTCATGATGAAGTCCTGCAGCCAGGGAGGGAGATGATCTGAGGAGGTAAGTTTCCGAGTCACTTTCATCTTGTGGAATGATGAGGTTTCTGGAGATCATAAAGTCCAGGAAAGCATCCAGATGGTAAATGACGAGGTGAATTCTCAGAGGGCCCTCCTTCTTGACTTGTTGACTTGGTGCTTCTCTGGCAACCCAGACCTACCTACCAGTGTAAGCACAGAGTATACCAGTTTAGAAGGTAAACAGTTGGCCTATGCCAACTATATAATGTTATAGTGTTGGGGTCCACCCAAGAAGCATGCCATGTATCTCTTACATAAGCAAAAATTTGATCACACTTAAGCAGTCCAAAAACTAAACAAGCCAACTTGAGAGATAATGAGTTACTTATCAATGGCTGGAAGTGTTTAAAAAGAGGATGGATAAATACTCCCTGGGAACGATGTAGGTTTCTCTTTGTGTTAAATGGTTAAGTTGGGTCATCTTTGAAGTCCCTTCCAAATCTAAGATTCTATAATTCCACTTTGTACTTCTAATCCTACCTTTGGCTTTTTTAGTTTTGTGGGTATCATGTAATTTAGGTGCTCGGTTTTCTTTAAACACTATTAACATTTGATTCAGCTATGCCATTGTAGCCTGGCAGTGGCTCTGGGTTCTCAAAGGTGAGGTCAGTGAAGTACAATCTCTGGGAGCTTTGCGATCATAGATTTAGAGGTGGAAGCATCCTTAGAGGTCACCTAAGCCAAGGCTTGAATCTATGAGCCAGGGATGATGGACTGTGTTTATGGTCTGAGGACCAGCCCAGGTACATTTTGAAGAGGTTCAGCACTACACTGGCCACCAGTGTAATGCTTTTTAATGTTTTTTCCTGCCACAGCAGCAATTCACAAAAAAACAACCCAATAAGGTACAGACTAATTGTGATCTGCATTAATGAAGATAGTACCCAAATCTAGAAAACTGCAGATTACCGAATAGTGAGGAGATGAGGCATATGCTAGCTGGAATGATACAAAAAGGATCAATCCTTTTTTGCTGGAATATGGGTATAATAAGGGCAAGAATATGGACCCAGCACCACCATTTCTAACCTAATTTCATTTGCATGCCAAAGGAAGATGATTTTGGAAATGAGGCTCACTTTATTACCATAATCCTGCAGGATCCCACTGGTCTTGGTATTTCATCTCATTACCACCCTCTACCCCTCTGATTGATGAGTGGAGCCATGACCTCCATTTTAGAAGGGAACTCAGCTCAGGACATCCTCTCGTTTCTCACCAGGCTGCACTACTCTGGAACATCTCTGACCTTCTCCACCATGCTGCTGTGTTGGGTGGGTACCTTTGCTGCACCCCCCTTACCCTTCCCTTTTCACTCCTTCCTTTTCTGTGTTGTCTGTCCCCCTTAAATTGTCTGTCTTTCTTGAGGGCAAGGATCATCTTTCTTTTTTCTTATTTATATCTCCAGTGTTTAGCATAGTGTCCGGTACACAGCAGACACTTAATAAATGTTTATTTAGTATTGACTAACCTCTGTAAATGTTTTGTGGAAACAGGACAAGAAATTAGTTTTGTGGGTCAAGGATATAACAGTGATCACAAATAATTTTTTAACCCAAATTCAGGTAGTTATCTGGGTCTATGTACCCCCAAATCAGTGCAACCAAAAGAATAGATTTAATCCTAGAATGAGATATTCTGTCTTTTTTTTTTTAAAGTTCTTTGCCTGGGTGCAGTCACATCTAGCTAAGTCTTATGGCTGCGCACTAAAAGTTTTCACCTGCCCTTGATGGAAAGAGGTCTCCTAGTCATCCCACCTCAGTAGATAGGTAGAGAGAAAATGTAGTAGCCAGGTAGATAAATGTAATAGGTAGATCGATAATGCTCTCTGTTCTCAGCAAATGGCTCTGAAGAGGTGAAGCTCAGCCAAAGACAGCACAGTGTGACAGAGAGGAAAGATGCAACGCCCAGCAGAATACAGTGGGATGAGATCACCAAAGCACATTGACAACTCTGTAGCAGGGAATTATCCTTCCAGATGTCATCTGGTCACACAGGTTACTGATGTGCACCCTACATGTGTGCCATGGTCCTCTGGGTTCCCGTTATGTGTCACAAATGATTCCTTCATGTGTTTCCAATACGCATGTTCTCACATCAATGTGCTCTCTGGCTGGCTGGGAAAAATAATCCTCTTGGTCAGAGCTCTTGAGCTATGGTTTTAAGCCAGGTACTGACTTTGAGAGTGCCTCAAAGCTGAGAGAGCTTTTCTAAGTTTTTCACAGGGAGGGAGTGCTCAAGTTGCTATATGACCCAAAGCAAGTGACAGCCTCTCCCAGCCAGTTTCCTTATCTGTAAAATGAGGGTAATAATATCACGTGGGGTTGTTGCAAGGATGAAAATGAAAAAATATATGTAAAGTGTATTGTAAACTTCTAAATTAGCTATCATTATCATTTAAATTTTTCCCTATGAGTAACATAGAAAATATGGTTCCGTTCCTTTACTACCCAGGGCAAAATATGGTTAGATGAGGTATGTGAGTGTGTGTGTGTGTGTGTGTGTGTATACATACACACATATATATTTTATATTTATATATATACATATATATGTATTTTTTTTTTTTTTTTGGTGAGGCAGTCAAGGTTAAGTGACTTGCCTAGGGTCAAACAGCTAATAAGTGTCGTGTCTGAGGCTGGATTTGAACTCAGGTCCTCCTGACTTCAGGGCTGGTGCTCTCTCTACTGCGCCACCTACCTGCCCCAATAAGGTATATTTTAAAGCATTTTCCAGGCAAAAGGCAGTTGGGTATGATTAAAAAAAACAAAAACAAAAACAAAAACAAGTAGGAGACCGTTAGGTGGTACAATGGATAGAGCGCCTAGGAGCACCTAAGTTCAAATTCAGCCAAAAGATAATTACTAGCTGAGTGATCCTGGGCAAGTCACTTCACCTTTTTTTGCTTCAGTTTCCTCATCTATAAAATGGGAATGATTATAGCACCTACCTCCCAGAGTTGTTATAAGGACTCAAATGAGATAATATTGTAAGGCTCAAATGAGATAGTATTTGTAAAGTGTTTTGCAAACCTTAAAGCAATCTCTACAGATGCTAGGTTATAATTATTAAGTGGTGTTATGATCAGTCGAAATCCTTTCCTATTTTATTTAATTCTAAGGTTTATGAGAAGACTTGACTGTCAGTGTGCATGTCAAGGATCTGGGCTGGGTGTAGCTACCTTGTACCCATACGATTCTCAACATCTCTACACCTCTGTAGGCAATCTCAATGCTGTGGCTAAAAAAATGAAAGAAAAAAAGTATCATCTCATGACTAGTTTGCTAAAACTCCCCATAAACCTCCCCCATTGCTCTCTCAGGGTCATTAAAACCAGTGAACCTTAAGGCCCAGAAGTTACAGGCCACCAAAAAAGGAGGGATTCTATGAAAAGATGTGTGTGTGTGCAACTGTAGCCATCACCAGCCAGATTTCCTCCTTCCTAAATGCAGAATCTCATCTGCCACACAGATTTAATACGAGGTTGTTGGGTTTTCTTTTTAACTTTGACTCAGCTGCAAGATATGCTTTTAAATTTTTTTCAAAGTTTTATTACTTGACATGACTCAAAAGATCAGGAAACATGATTTTAAAATGCATGAGGGGTTTAGTCAACTTTTCATAAGGTTTCCTTTGGCTTCTCTTGGCTCTTAATGGTACAAATGTGCTCCATAAAAACTGTTTTTATGTGAATGTGATGTGATGGTTGCCCTCACAAATTCTCCCTGGCCAGGGCTGCTGGCAAAGAGGCCAAGCATTCCTAGGGTGGGAATGTTGTCACTCTGTGAGCCCCTCTTCCTTCCCCTGGCTGGTTCATCATATGTTAGCACCGCCACCAGAGGGCGCACAAGGGCCAGAAGAGCAGATTAAAAACCACTTAAAATCATCCCTGGACGGCCCCCAGAGTTCAGCCTGTCCAACCTCTTCATTTCACTGATTGGGAAACACCAAGTGACTATTCCAACTCACACAGCTAATAAGTGGCCTAGTCAGGACTCAAACCTAGGTCTTCTGACCATCACTACACCCTTTCCCCAGCTTTTGGTCAGTTCGTGCCGCACGCCGATTCAATTATCAGAAATTGTTCCCAAATGGTTAAATAGATATGAAATATTATTGAGAGGAAAACACTTAGGAAGGGGGAAATATGGTATGGTGTAAAGAGTGCTGAATTAGGAGAGAACTTGGTCTCTTCCCACCAGTTTGACCTTAGGCAAATAATTTATCTTCTCTGGGTCTCAGTTTCCTCATTTGTAAAAAATAAAAGGGGGGTAAGGGGTGGGTGGACTAGATGACCACTACTGATGCCTCTCCTAAGTCAAAAGCTGTGGTCCTGTGACACATCAGAATTCCCTCTCAAAATTCTCTTTTCATGAAATGCATGAATTTTGAATATTTCTTTAAAGGCAGACATTTCTGGAGGTCATTAAAATTTAAGCTAAATATATCATGACAAATAAAGTCATTCTGTTTTCCTTTGAGATTTCAGTTTGCTTAAAAATTCTACAGATGGACTCCGGGTGGATTCGGGCAAGCATAGCTAGGTGGTGCAATCCAGCCTCAGACACCACACACTTACTAGCTGTGTGACCCTGGGCAAGTCATTCAACCCTGTTTGCCTCCGTTTCCTCATCTGTAAAAATGAGCTAAAGAAGGAAATGGTAAACCACTCTAGTATCTTTGCCAAGAAAATCCCAAATGGAGTCACAAAGAGTTGGACGTGAATGAAATGCCCGAACAACAACAAAAAATGAACTGCTGACACTTCATGGGAGGCTTTGAAATAGGTTAAGTACAAGTCCGACGTCTTCCCTGGGTATTGAATATCATCCTCAGTGAAAGAGGACACTTGTCCTTCCCCAGTTCCACAGGAGCATCTTGGTTCTTTAGGACTTAAACAAATAATGGCCCCAATGTAACACTCTCCCTACTTTCTCACACCAGGCATCCAAAAGAAAATGTGAGCCAGAAGTCATTCATTGCTCACTTGCATTGTTTCGTCTGGCAATCTACTCTCCACAGAGTGAAAACACAGGGGGAGGCAGACATTCTCCCAAAAAACTAGTACGGTTCACCCTTCCACATCTCGACTTTCCCCATCTCAGTTTCAATATGTTATGGGTCGGCATAAGAAATTAAATGGGAATTTGGGGGGAGTTTTGTGGAAGCCACAGACTAAAAAGAAAAAGTTTAGAAACTCAGAAATGCATAAAACTACCTATGGTGTTAACTGGATTTTTGCTGAGCCAGTCTCTAACCTGAGAACACTGGGAGCTGCACAAAACAGTCCCAGAGATAGGAGTGCCAGTAATCAAGTGGTTTAATTAATCAATTTCAGAGTGAGGAATATTCTCTTAGCCATATTATATACTTAAATCACAACTGAGGAAGGAGGGGAAAAGGTGGATTACAAACAGTCATTTAGCGGTTTCCCATGAGAAATCTGCAAGTCCCACAATACACAATTCTGGAGTCAAGTCTTTGGGGGTTGTGACCACCTTCCCTAAAGTACAGAACCAGGGTTCTGTGATGGGTGCAGGTTCTACAATCTGTGATTCGATTCACTGAAGGTCCAGTGATGGCGAGCGTTGTCAGAGTTTTGATTAATCAGTTCAAGCTGCACTGTGAGCTCTGACTCCCAAGTCAGAGAGTCAGCTCTTGAGAAAACTAAATTATTAGCATATTCATTACACATATCATATTGATTAACATGAAAATTATAAATTCCCTTCTCATTAGCATTGTATAATATCAAAATATTTTATCTTTTAGTACCATAATAATTTAGACTTCTCTGGGACAAAGGGATGGCCAAAAATTTTTATGAGGATTTTCCAGACCTCCCTAACCTCTGAGACGCAGAAGGGATAACTGTATCAGGTATCTCCCTATTTAGCTTGAGGCATTTCAGGATTGGACAGCTAACTTTCTCCATCATTTTGTGATACCCAACTAAAGGACTGCTTAGTCATCAAAATGTGCCATCTCTTGCAATGGAACTTAGAAACCTGAAGGAATCAGGTCTATTTAGATGAGGTGAGTGACAGAAGATGCTATATATATGAACTAAAAAGCAAACTGAGTGGAAGTCAGGAAGGGTAGTCTCTAGTCCTGGTTTTTCCTACTCTACAGCCTCGTGACTTCATATCAACACATAGGGCCTTGTCATCTGTAAAATGAGAAGATGGACCAGATGCCTCCCAGCTCTACCATTCCATGATCTAGACTAACCTTTCCATCCCTACTTCTCTGAAATGATATAAACGTTTCTGGTCTACCAACAGTAGCCAAAGAACCTGTCTAATGTAACCCAACTTAAAATTATCTGCTAATCTGGGCCAACACAGACAATTCATATTCTTAGTGCCTCTAAGAGAAGCCTTCCCCAATCCCCCTCAATCATACTGCTTTCTTTCTGCTGATTACTTCCAATTTAGCCTGTCTGTATCTGGTACTATAGAAGGAAAAAAAAAAGCAAACCGTTCCAGTATCTTTGCCAAGAAAACTCCAAATGGAGTCATGAAGAATTGGACATGTCTGAAATGAACAACAAAATATCTTGTAGGGGCAGCTAGTTGTTGCAGTGGATAAAGCACCGGCCCGGGAGTCAGGAACACCCGAGTTCAAATCCAACCTCAGACACATGATACTCACTAGCTGTGTGACCCTGGGCAAGTCACTTAATCTCTATTGCCTTGACCGAAAAAAAAAAAAAAAGGAAAAGCTCAAAATATCTTATATACATGTAGCTCTTTGCGTGTTGTCTCCACCATTAGACTGTGAGTTCCTTGAGATTCGGGACTTTCTTCTGCTTTTCTTTCTACACCCAGTGATTAACACAGTACCTGGCACATAGTAGGCATTATCAATATTTATTATTGTCTTCAGTCATTTTCAGTCTTTTCTTGGGGTATTCTTGGCAAAGATGCTAGAGTGGTTTGCCATTTCCTTCTCCAGAGTGTTTTCCAGATGAGGAAACTGAGGCAAACAGGGTTAAGGGACTTGCCCAGGGTCACACTGATAGTAAGCGTCTGAGGCCAGATTTGAACTCAGGGCTTCCTGACTCCAGGCCCAGCACTCTACCTCCGGTTCCATGAGTTTATTGACTGACTGGCTCCTGTCCATCTAAAGTGTAATTCTCTTCATTTTAGGGTTTGTTTGTTTGTTTGTTTTTAAAGCTGACTTTGAATGTGTGGCAGCCTTTTGTCTCCAAGTTTCCTTAGGTTTTATGAGTTCAATCCCTTGACTCTGTTCTATCAAGTCAGTTAATAGTCAAAAAAGAAAGTCAATCAATCCCCCCATTCTGCCAGTCAAGTGAGTCATCAAATCATCAAAACGTTTTCTTTGGATGGATGCAAGGGATAGCACAGTACAGAAAACAAGTTTGTTAAAAACAAAAAAGGCTAGGAGAAAGGTTTATAGAAGTTCCATTCAAGTTACATTTCTCTTTGCTAATGACCCCCCCAGGACTATGTTATTTTGCCTTCTTAAAATGTCTTTTCCCATCTTTTGAACCAGAAGTTCTTAACTTGGAGTCTGTAAACCTGTTTTCTAAAATATTTTGATAATGTATTTCAATATAATTAGTTCCATTTATAATCCTCTGCATTCTATGCATTTCAGAATGTTATTCTGAGGAGTCCATAGACTTCGCCAGACTGCCAAAGGGGTTCATGACCCCCAAAAAGGTTAAGAGTCCCTGATCTATCACTACACCTCCCTACTGCCCTTTCCTACAGTTCAAGCTACTACTGAAAGTCTCTCTTTTCTGAACTCCTCATACTCACCATCTATATCAATAATTTGAGCACCTAATCAGATATTGTCTAAGACTCCAGGGTCCACTCTTTTATACATTTAAAAAATGACCCTACAGCCTGGGACAGTGGTATGGCATATAATAGATACTCAATTAGTTATTTGTTGACTGAATCAATATGGAATCAAACTCAGATTTTAAATGTCAAATTGAGATACGAATGAAGAATTTAATTTAGGACAAATACAGTGGTGTATTTAAAATTTCCCCCCAACTTTTTTTTAATTAAAATAGCCTTTTCCCTCTATTCTGTTACCCCCAGAAACATCCTTTGGGGCTGCTTAAGTATCTACCAAGTATGGCCAAATGAGACAGATGTTTAAATAAAAATGGAAACTGGCAAGCTTGAGGTTAATAAACAAAAGAGTTAAACTCATTCACTTAGTAATTCTGTGACCCTGTATTTGATGGCCAGTGGTCATGTAAACTAAGTTAGCTGTAATAAGCACCTTGAAATTTTCAAGGTAGTTACTTAAGCAGAGTAATTGAATTTCTAACTAACCTGCACAGATCATGGTCATCAGTGCCTGGGAGCAGGAGGCTAAATCAGTCTGCTTAAGCAAGGGAAAGACTTCACTTTGCATATTGTTTTGTTTTTTTTTTTAAGCATAGAAAAGTTAACAAAATTTGTTTAAAAAAAAAAGCATTGTCTTTTATTTGTCTACAACCTGTGACCCTGGCTGTGCCATGTGGAATGTACTGTTTGTCTTTGGCAAATGTAACTTGAAGCCGCACTCCTCGTTGGCTACCGGTTTCAGGACTGGTGGTGTATTCCTTCTCCATTACTCAGTTTACTTTCCTGAATCTGAAATAGAGTGGAATTTCAATGTAAAGTGACCGATTAGCTGCAGGGTTCAATTTAAGCCTTTCATTAAATTTAATCCCTGATCTCAAAACATTTTGTTTCTAAGAAAAGTGTAGTGAGGTTTCTTGGATGTCACAAAGTTCAACCCAGTGAGCCTGAGAAACTTGTCAGCTGATGCTGACAAGTAAGTCATCCATATCATACTAAAGCATGACTACACATCTCCAGGTGACTAACTTCTGAATGATGTCCCCAGCAGGTGGAGTTTGCTGTCTTCAGACAGAGCACTCAAGATTCGATAAGAAAACTCCAAGAGGCCATGAACTAGATTCTATGCCACTTGGATTCCTCCACTGGTGTTTATGACTAGCAAAGGATCTTAAAGTCAGGAAACATAAAATAATGAACTGGATGAATGAATCTCATTTCAGTGACCAAAAGTTACCCTGATAGGTTTTGCCTCTGACACCAACACCGTGACCCTGATCCACTCACTTCACCTTTCAATCAGTTTCTTCTTCTGTAAATTGGAAATGATAATACTTAAGCTACCTATCTCACAGAATTTTATGAGAAACCCAACTATGTAAAAGTAAGCTTTGAGAAAGAGACCAAGGGAATATAGATTTGGGGTTAGGAGACACAGATTCAAGCCCCAGCTGTGGTATATATTTCCATAACCATAGTCACTTAAGGAGGGAGGTGGCAGTTTCCAGAAAGGATGAGAGGGTATTTTATGTCAATTTTATGTCAGTTCTTAAAGAGAATGGGCCTTGGCTCCAGAGATACGAAAAATAATAATTTTTCATTCAATGGGGATTTACAAATGAACTCAGCCTTTGATGTGAGTATTATGCATCTCTAAGATAAGCACTTGTCTAATAGCTCCATCCACCAAGGCCTCCATAAGTCTATTATCCAATCTTTCACAAACGGGAAAACAGATCATAAGATAAAAAGGAGGTAGGGTGGGGTGGGGGGAGTGTGATTCAATTGCCTAAACGGCGGTCGGGGATGTTTAGCCGCCACGTAAATATAGGCTTACAATTTTTAGAGCTGGAAGAGACAAGAGACCAACCCCCTTTCATTTTATACATGAGGAAGGCTAAGGATTTAGGGAAATGACTTTGCCAAGGCCAGACAGATACATACAATAGCACAGGAAGTATTTGGACTCTGACTTCAAATTCCTTGTTCTTTCCATCATTATCTGTCAAAGTCCAGAGATTTAACTGTTAAAATTTTTTGTGTTTTTTCCCCCCTTTGGAGGATGTAGCAAAATGGAGCATAAATGAATCTTTGACAGTTAATTCTATGACTTAACAATTCTCTTAATCCAACATCAATCCTCTCATACCACTGAGAGCGATTTTTACTTATGTACACACTTTGTCATGCTCCACATAACTCTAATTAAGATATATGCTTAGACAAACACGCCTGGATCATTTTGTGCTGCGACCTAATGCTCTTTTTCACCTGGGGGAGAGGGATTGAGGGAGCAGTGATGGAGAGGGGGAGGGGAGGGGGAGAGAGAGAGAAAGAGAGAGACAGAGACAGAGACAGACAGAGAAAGAGAGAGACAGAGAGAGGAGAGAGGAGGCAGAGGGAGGAGAGAGGAGCCTGTCCAAACTTCCCGCCCCCTGCGCAGACAAGCCCCCCCCAGTCTCTCCTCCTCCTCTTCCTCCTCCCTCCCCCCCCCACCCCAGCCGGTCGCTGGCTGCAGCTTTGTTTTCTTCCCAGGTTTCATTTCCCACACGTGATACTGTGTTATTGCAAAGAGCGCTTCGTAGCGTTAGCGCAGGGCGAGTGCACCTATAAATACTAATAACATCGGCCAAGGAGAGAAGAGACGGAGCGAGGCGAGGAGGCAGAAAGAGGAGAGAGAGGAGGAGGAGGAGGAGGGGGAGGAGGAGGACAAGGCGGATTAGGGGAGAGAGGAAAAGCGCACCCGCAAGTCCCCTGGAGGAGGCCCCCCACCCGCCCCTCGGTGCACCCAGGGCCAAAGCGGGGCAGAGGGAGGCTTGCATGCCATGCCACGCGGGGGGCCGGAGCGCGGTAGCTGCGGCCGCGCACGCTGCTGCTGCTGCTGCCGCTGCCACCGCCGCCGCTGCTGCTGCCGCCGGCCCCGCTCGTCCTTCCCTAGCTTAGCCCTTCCGCGCCTCCTCGTTATATCGGGGCATCGCTGAAAACGGAGACAATGGCGGCGGCGGCTGCAGCGGCCACCACCGCCACCCCCCCCACCAGCAGTAGCAGCAGCAGCGGCAGCGGCAGCGGCACCAGCAAGAGCACCAGCAGCCGCAGCGGCGGTGGAGGCGGAGGCGCTCCCGCCGACGCCAGCCCCCGGGGCAGCGGCACGGACGCGGGGCAGCAGCAGCAGCAGAGGCAGCCCCCGCAGCCGCAGCAGCAGCAGCAGCCCGAGCCCCCCAGGAAGCAGCGCATGGACCCGCGGCGCCGGCAGGCTGCCCTCTCCTTCCTCACCAACATCTCTCTGGACGGGCGGCCCCCGCTGCAGAGCGAGGACTGGGGCAGCGGCGAGGAGAGCGGGGCGGCCAGGTCCGGGACAGGCGGCGCCGCGGGCGGCGGCGGCGGAGTCCGGGCTCGGCTCAGCCTGCTCTCGGCGGCCGACAAGGGCAGCTTCTACCCGCCCGCGGCGGCGGCGGCAGCGGCAGCGGCTGCTGGAGGGACTGCCTGTGCGCTGCAGCAGCAGCAGCAGCAGCAGCAGCAGCAGCAGCTGGGCTGCTATCCCCCTGCAGCAGCGCCCCACTGCGGGGGTGCCCGCGGGCTCCTGAGCCCCCTGAGCGTAGACCGGGCTTCGGGGGAACAGTCTCAGGCCAGCCGGCAGCCACCTCCCCCAGCGCTCCAGCAGCCTCCGCTGCAGCAGCAGCGTGACGGGCCGGGGGAGGGAGGGGAGGAGGAGTTGGAGGAAGACGATGCCTTTGCCCCGGTGCAGGTGCCGGCGGCCACTTTCTTGGGCTCCGGGACACCGGGGGGCGGGAGCGGCAGCCGGAGCCGCCTCAACTCCTTCACTCAGGGAATCCTGCCCATCTCGTTCTCCAGACAGACCTCGCAGAACTACTGCTGTCTTGAGCAGTCGGGGCAGGTGGGCGCCTTCGAGCAGCTGCAGAGGTCCCGGTGAGTACCCGGGGGGCGTCACACCCTTTACATCCTCCTCTACTGCCCGCTCTCTGGGCTAGAGTCCTGGGTCTTCTCCCCATTCCCTGTGGGATCCTTGCACACTTTAACAGTCTTCTCTCTCCTGCACTTAGAGCACAGAGCCCATGCTGACTCTCTAGACTGGAGTGCTGGGTCCCCTCCCCATTCCCTGTGGGATCCTTGCACACTTTAACATCCTTCTGCCTCCTGCTCCTAGAGCACAGAGACCATGCCGACTCTGGCTGGAGTCCTGGGTCTTCTCCCCATTCCCTGTGGGATCCTTGCACATTTTAACAGCCTTCTCTCTCCTGCACCTAGAGCACAGAGCTCATGCTGACTCTCTAGGCTGGAGTGCTGGGTCCCCTCCCCATTCTCTGTGTGATCCCTGTTTTTTTATTTCGTTTGGCCGATGTGCTAAAACGTTCAGTGCACGTGGAAAAACAAGGAGGGGGGGCGCGATGGTGTGTGCATAAAGCATGCATATAACAGGAGCACCAATACATAGAACATGAGTGCTCATGCAACATGGATGGAGTGCTTGGATGATCTCATTTAAAAAAAAAAAAGCTTACACCAAAATCTTCCATCACAAGAGGGAGATCAGTAACTTCCTGAAATCCCATCCAGAATGTGAGAGGCACCCTCCCCACTTTCTCAGACTTGGCAGGGCTGGAAGTGGAACAGACAAAAGTTGGCTTCCTAAAACCTCCCTGCCTTCACCCCCGCCCTCCTGGCTTTGTGCATGTGTATGAGGAAATTTAAAACTTGTTGCAAAAATACTTTGAAATTCTCCCAAGAGGTCCCTGCTTATGAAGCTTTCACATGTCACGTTCAAACTCTTAGATCCCTCCCATCTATTTGCCCATATTTGTTTTTGCTTTTTCTCAGTTTTCCTTGGTAGGTATACTTCCTATGGTCCCTGGGTAAGTGGGAAAACCCTTCAGGGCTTTACCTAGAAATTTTGCTGTAGAAGTAGTTGGGCAAGTATAGGTTCAGGTGGAAAGGTATTCCTAGAAGCCCATTAGGGTTTACAGTGAAATCATAAAGTGTTGGGCATGGCAGTACCTTTGTTTATTACCTAGGTAACAACTGAAGCATGTCAGGGGCATGTAGAGCCTTGTGCATCTTATTTTTTGGCACTCAGTGATGGAAGTGAGCAGATGAGATGGGAAAGGAATACTGATAGAAGACGAGGATCTGGAAGGAGCTGCTAGCTTTTATGATCAAGGAGTTGGCTGGGCTGCCAGTCATATCTGAATGCTTTTCTAACTTGTTTCTGTAATGGGTCTTCTGTAGCAGCCATTGCCACTCATAGAATCCCAAGGCATGGCAGGAAGAAGTGTTACTTTGCCAAAACTCTGCTTGAGTTGAATGGACACAGATACAACCTTTTGTCTCAGCTACCCAAAAGGGGGCCTGAAAGCCACTTCTTTTGCAGTATCATTCTGATCCAGGTAAGATGGCAGCCTACCAGAAAATTAACCCATCTATCCCAGCCTGCAAAATGGGAAAAGAACAAACAGAGCTTGTACAGAATTTTTTTTCATGAAATAGTTTATTTTCAGATGGATGGAATCAGTCAGTTGAGAGGGATAATTCTAATACTATAGGGCTCAGCGTTTGAGCTCAGAAAGAACTCAGTGTGTGGTTGAAGCGTCTGTTTTACCTAAAGAATAAAAGCAGGCAGCCTTGTCGATGCAGTCATGAGTTAGTGAGGGAGAGCCCTAAGTGTGACAGCCGGGGAGAGAAATCCTTCTTAGAGCACGAATCTCCCCATTCGCTGGATGAGTGCAATCTGAGTTGAGAGTGTTCATTTATGGGAGAGAAGTGCACACTCAGCGGTTTCTTGGCAGCTCAGACGTCACCACTTGACCTGATAACAACTGCAAACTATGTGAGGCGATAGGGTAGTGACAGGCATTCTAAAGACCCTGCTGTCTCAAACATACCGTGTCAGGCTATAGAGCTTATCTTGTTTCTCCTGATAGAAGCAGATGAGTTTCAAGTGCTTAAAACTGCAGGGAAAAGCAAGAAGTCACATTTCTTTGGAAGAAATTATTTGCCTCATGTTTTCACTCTTGTAAATTTTAGTCTCGAAGTAATAATGATCTTTCTGCTCAAGTAAGGTGGTTGCCGGCTGGCCTGGTCTTATATTTTACATATGTGTATGTATATATGCATGTATATAATATACACATATGTATATGTATATGTGTGTATGTATGTATATGTGTATATGTGTGTATATATGTATACACACACACATATATGTTCATCTATTAGTTTTTCTCCCGGATTTTTCGAGATAAGACGAACAAGTTAACATGAAGTGACTTTGTTATCTCAGAGGTCACGTGAAGCCGTCTTTTACACAATTCGTGTCTAGCATGTTGTTCTGAAGTCTCATCCTAATAACTGAAAAGAATCAAAACTGGACCTTGGCTGAGACAGGATGGGCGATTTTCCTTGGTGTGGGAAACTCACTGGTGATACACTTCCTTGAGCGTTCCCTGTGAGCATTTCTTCAGCTTACAGTCTTACAGAGGGATGCCCAGAGTACTGAGACGCTAATCAACTTTGCTGGAGTGAGTGTCCGTATGTGTCAGGGATAGTTCGTATCCACTGTGCTAATCTGTCTTTGGCAGAATTCAGTTGTATTGAATGGGGCAGGGGACTTTGATTGGATAAAATCCTGTGATTCAAGGATTTTTTTTTTTCCCCAGGAACTAGATGAGCAGTTCCCTTGACCTCAAGTTGTAGAACCTAATAAACTTGAATTGCCCCAGGAGGTTTCACATGGGTCTCTTTTGGGTGGAGTATGGGGAGAGTACAACAATAAAGGAACACCCTGACATAGAACTTTGTTAGACTTTTGTCTCTTATGAACAGCATATTGATACCACTTATCATCAGCTTGAATAAATAAGGTAAGGGCAGGTAAATCCACTTGCCCCAGATTCCACGACTGGTAATCTGTCAGATTTTAAACATATTGATCTTTTTTTCCCAAGGGTATCCCATTTTAAGAAAAACGTATACCTTGCTCTACATAATAGTTATGATTTTGAAAAGTTGTGTATAAATTTTTTAAAAAGTATAATCATATTTTTAATGACTAAGAGAACTTGCTATTAAGAAACATTTACTAAGTGCATGCTATGCACTGGGGATATAAATACGACCAAAAAAGAAAGACAGTCTCTGTCCTGAAGGAGTTATAGTCTCATAGGCGAAGATGACATACCAGAGAGAGCTGAAGGGTATGGGAAGGAAAAGTACCCTAACAGAGATACGGTATTGAAGTCCAGAAAATCAGAAGCAGAGCAAGGGAGGTTGGCTAGCCTGGCCCCTTCCCCAAAGTGGAGGTCCCAGGAGGAATTCACCAATGGGAGAAGAAGGCCAGAAGGGTGGGTGGATATTCCAGGATGAGGAGGCCTCTGGGGGCAGATGGATGTTCCAGGCTGTTATATATCTAGATTTTTGCTGAAGGTCATTTCTTGATCTTCTAACACCCACCATAATCATTGTTAGGCTTGCTACACTGGAATATATCATGGGAAAATGGGATAGGTAGCAGAAGCCTGTGCTCGAGATGATACATTGGCACCACTCTCACTGTTTTTCAGGGTGAACTTTTAGATCAGCAAGGCCAGGCAGATGACTAGTTGGGAAAATACCCTTTTCTTCCTAGTGGCCCTGCAAGAATCTTTTCAAATTTTTCTCTCACATGAAAAATCAAATCAAGGATTGGGGCAATTATAGTCATTTTTGAGGCTCCTAGTACACATTTTACTCTTATCTTTGATATAATTAGGAAATCTAAAATGAAAGCATTCCCTCCCCCTTTTTTTTTTTGATAATGATTTCACCCTTCTACTTCCCTGTGAAGGCTTTTTGTCTCACTTTGGGGGACCGGGCAGCCAGACTTTGAGCAAGGCTTCTTTTTTTTTTTTTATTTCCCTCTACTCAGATGATTCTGTTCAATTTAGATTTTCTGAATCAGCATCGTCAAACAAATAGAAATGGGGCCCATAAATCTTACACAAGGATTCTTGTAGCCTCAGAGTGACTTAGAAAATCACATATTCACATTATTTATGTTCTGTTGTATTTTTATTGATTTTGTTAAATGTTCCTCAATTCTATTTTCATTCAATTGCCAGCCATGTGTTTGACGCCTCTGAAAGAGCCACTACCCCTGAGCTCTTAGCAGAGGGCCATGCTCAGAGCGGATGTCCCATGTGCCATATTGTACAATCCTTTGTTAGAGGAAAGGCATCTTTCTTTAGCAAGGTCATGAAACCAGTGCCATGTCTTAGACACCAGACATGCTCAATAAATATTTCTTGATTTTTGGTAAATGCTGCTTCATCATTCTGTCTGTGTTGTTAAGGTCAGTTGTC